ATGCGGGGTTAGCTCCTGCTTGCTAATATTGCCTGCAGGAGCCTTCTAGACGGCGGTAGCCTAGCTAGAATACCTCTGAACTCCACCACATGATTTTTTGTCTTTGGTGGAAGGTGGCAAGAAAGTGCAAACAAGCTTAGGCCTCGAGCATCGTGCTTGAGCTTGAGCCCTCCGGCGTCGTCCTGACGCCAGCCAAGGCTACAGTGTAGTCGTGCATCAGGGGATGTGTACACATTCTTGAACAGCATGATTTGGAGTTGGGGTCTAGTTTTCGGATGGATCTCCACGCACAAGTCTAGAACCTACTCCGAAGCCTACAACACTGAAAATATGCTGCATCTGATAGAAAGTTTTCCTACGTGATAAGTGCACAGGCATGAACTGTCCTTGAACTTTTTGCCGTAAATGCTCTCGCCGCCCGCTCCGGTGCCGGTGACAAAGTCGCCACCCTGCCAGCTAGCGCAGTTCTGTGCAGGAACTTCCTACACTTCCTGTCCTTGGCGGGCACAAGGCACCCGGGCTTTGCAAAAAACACGACTTCTACGAAGAGTTGGGCTAGTGACTTTAGTATACTACATGTTGCCGGGAGAATGATGCATGGTGTTTGGCTCTTCAAGCGCACACTGCCTGCATCATGAAGGCTTTGATGATCCGGTGGAAGGGGACATTCCGGTAGCACATCTCCTTCCGCAATCGTGCAGAGCCCCGGAGACAGAAAAAAACTCCGGCGGTGACAGCACTCCAATTGCTCCACCCAGCGTGCCTTTCCGGACTCCTTGGACTTGCCCTTCTCTCCAGTGCAGAACGCCTGCAACGTCCATGACAGGTAGCACTCCGTTTTGGTGGCCGCATTGGGATGTAAAGTGATAGGACGTGGCGCGCATTGATATGTGGAAACGATCGGACGTGATGCTTTTTTGGGGGTCCGGGCAGGAGGACAAACCTTTGCTTAGAAGGTGTTTGCATAGGTAGAACCACCACTTTGATGACAATCGGCGTTGATGAAAATTTGCGTCGGCAGAAGGGCTGCGTCGAAAAATATTCAGGAATCCTCTCTCCTCCCTGCCACACCAGGAAATCGGGTCTTTTGGTTGGTCATGCCTGCGGGAGGGCTTTACTCAAACAGACGCCTCACTATCCCCATCTTATGGGTTGTAACCTCAGGAGGATCCGCATAACAGGTCCTTACGACATCAAGCGACATGCTCGAGGTGTAGTAAGCCCTTTCCACTAGTGCTCTGGATTTGAAGCGGAAGATACTGATGATGGACAACAAAGAGCAGAATCCACGTACCATGCAAATAGGACGGAGCGTCTACCCTCGAATGGAAAGCCTTCAAAAAAAAAGCTAAACACTCGCTTTGGCCTAAATCCTGCTCCATTTGAGGCTCTTAGCCGCAGGTCTTGCACCTTGAAGTTCGCACATGCCATAGGGCTCTCCTTGTCGAACAGCTCGACCTCAGCACGGAGGACTCGCTACAATTTGGCTTGAAAGCGCTGGAGGTTTCAAGGTCTTGGACTGCGTCGTGAGGCAAACAAGAATCATACATCATAGGCAAATTGTGAAGATTGATTAGTGGTTGTCACTGATAGCATGAAAAGCAAGCCATGTCTGCATGGCTTCATTAACATGCCATCGTCTGTTCCTGTGTTGACAGGATAAGGCATCCAAGAAACGAGACTCCACAGCAGAAGGCACCAGCAGGCAAACTGTTCGCTTTTTACTGTCACAAGTGCAAAGGCATCCTATAATTCACAGCAAACCTGAAGCCCCTTCTTAGGGCCCCATTCCCTGCACCGAGCTCCAGGCGACCACACGTTGCTGAGGCGGCTTGAACCTCACGATTGCATCAGCACAGCTTGGGAGTCTTCGACTTCTGGAGTAGTTAGCCTGGCTGGCCCACTAGGAGACTCTCCATCCCCCTTAGAGTTGCTCTATGTGCAGACTGCAAATCTCGGCACCTGCATTCTGCTAGCTCCCGGGACAAACAAACCTTGAACCCATGTACCACCCTCCGGTTGCAGTTTCTCAGGCGAATGCAGCGCCCTGCCCTTCTGGCTCCATTCATAGTCGGACTGGCAGAGGTTGCCGCCAGCGAAGCTTAAAAGAGTTCTGCAGGGTCTCGTCTAAAGAGGTCTGCCAGCTAATCTTCACAAAGACCCGTAAAGACAATTTGTGACGCCGGCCAAGGAGGCTTCGATGACTTTATGGCACCGAGGATCTTCGTTTGAAAATGTGTCTTGGTCATGAAAAAGCCGGAGCGGCCATCCTGTTAAGATTTGGATCACCACATAACGCCTCCAGCATAGCAAGCCACAGTTTCTCATGCCCATGCCAGGTGATGATGAGCCTCAGCCTCCGACAGGCGTCTGGAACAAGCGACCAGGATCTAGCATTCTGCCCCTCTCCATTTCACACCAGAATGAAATCGCTCACCGCCCCCAGGCCTTTTGGATCCCTCAAAAATCCTACCCCACGCGCTTTCTGATCCCTCGGATTCTGGCCGCGGGGGTAAGGGGCCTGCCCCAGGGACCCCCACTAGCTTTGCAACGTCTTGCCAGACAAGCTGCTCAGGACGCACGCGGCGTGCACAAATAGCTGCCCAGAAGGCTAACCCTCGAAGCTGCACCCCGCGCAGCTAGCAGTCTCAGTCTGTCGCGCACGGTTGAGCCATGGATGGCCTGCTAGCAAACCTTTCATGCAGCCTCACAGCAAGGTCGTAGATTATCACATCTACACAGGCCACGTGCCCGGTAAGAACACAAACAATCCTACTTTCCAGCTGTTGCAATCTAGAAGAGGTCAGCCACAAAGCCCATTGCATAGGCTGAGGAACACGTGTTGCCGTTGCTTTTACCTCAATCTCAAGCCGGACCTGCATGGCTTGGGTGCACTCTCCCAAACCCTCAAGCCACAACAGGAAGTTCCTGGGAAAAGGCCTAAATCCAGCCCACAAGCGCGATATACGCTGTCCAGAAGCAGGATGCGAAGGCACTTAACACGGACCAATCTATCGCACATCGTGCGCTGTGTCTCAAATTTAGCCCCTGATCCGCACGGTCATAATGATTCGAAAATGGAAGCTGGTCCGACAAGAAACGTTGCCTCAAAGAGCTCAGGAAGCCGAGATAGCTCCGAGCCACCAAGCGCCAGGACATCCTCCGAGGAGATTTGGATCAAGAGGCCAAGGTAGGGTTATGTGACTTATGTGCTTGAGGCCGTGTATGTAACAGAGCCATGCTGAGTCTCTTGACCTTCTGCAGTGTCAGGGGGCAGATCCATTTGAAAGTTGTCTCATTTCAACTGTGGCTTGCTGCTTCTCAGTGCTTCCTCAAATCTGCTCGTGAGCCTTCTCCTTGCTGGCATGCTTGCCGCGTATCACGCTTGGCCCTTAAGACGTCACGATTCCGGACCCTCTGATGCTTTGGCAGTCCCTTTGGATTAGCCCATCATGTTGCATCTCGTGAGGAGGGTTTTTTGAGGTCGGTGCCAGACTAAGACCATCACCTCCCACGGTGACCGTTCACAATTTGAAAGGCTTTGTTCCTAACCTCCTTAACCCATTCACGTCTTGGCCTCCCTACCCTTCTAACGTACTTGCTGGTGGCTGCTTGCAAACTTCCGTGGATGAAGGACGAGCTGTGCATCAGATGGTCATACGGAAGCCTCAGAGCTTTCCCAAATAGTAGCAGCTGGCGTTGCAGAAGAATCTGCGCGGCGGCAACGCAGGAGGCCCGTTGTAAGGCATGTGCATTCGAAATTCGCGAAATGAATGAAGGAGCGATGCCCAAAATTCTTCGCAGACGGCGGTTTTGGAACCCATCCAAACGACGACGCTCAGCTGCTGAAAGGCATCGGCAACTTAAGCTATACACTAATTTTGATTCGATCAGGGCCTGGTAGATTCGAACATGAGTGCCACGGAAACTGCCAACTACTTTCCCTGAAGATGTCCACTTCCAGCTCCTTGGAGCTGAGCGAATACTTGATGTCGTTCGCCTGCAACGGCAAGCTTTGATCCCTGTGTTGCTTCTCAGCAAGAGTATCCGAGAGGTGACACCGATACCACCTACGAAAAATGGAGCTTATAATGTTGGTGACTTCTCCAAAGCTGAAGCGATAGATTTGTTACTTTCACGAACATGACCCTGAATAAACCAGGAATCAAAGTATGATCTTCCAGAAAAGTCCAGAGATTGAAATCCAAGGACATCGCGAATGTCAAGAGTTCATCTTGAGGACCAGTCTACTAGTTCACTCAGACTCTCCTCGAGACATTGACTTTCTCATTCAACTATGGTCGCAAATCTGATATGGGTGGCACGGGAAAAAAGAAGATGTTGTAGCGCCCCAGACCAAAAAGCTAGCATCATAAATTCGCAGGTGAGGCTGCATCCAGCTTGGTGATAGACTGATAAACCAACATGAATCTGGAGAGTGTGTCATGTCATGGACCGCTGAAGGGGAAATGCCTCCCACGGCTTCTGCAGTCACAGACATGTGCATACAGCATAGTATGAGCATGTTCACTGCACAGAGCGGCATCTTCCTGCATTTTAATACCATGCAAGCTCGACCCGTGTCCCGTGGGACGTCAGAATGCTACTGGTTGTTGCTCCGGCAAACTTTGACTACTAGCCTACGCAAGATTTGCAAAAGCGTGGCTTCAGTCACTCTGAACTCTGGCGACAGTCAAGAACCACATTCTCAATATCCAGCATTGGGAAGTTGTCATTGTCGACCAAGTTGCGGTTTGGATCAGCCTTGATGGCCTCAAAATGTGCAGCTGACACAGCGTATGGATTTCCAGTGTAGGTGATGAACGACTCGCTGAACTTGTCGACTGGAACGGTCAGGAAAAGATGGTGCCTAATCAGCTTTGCCACTGAGGTGGTTGCTTTGTAGATGGGAGGCCACGTCAGTTGGTAATGATGCTTGCCGTCAAAAAAAGTCCCGAAGAAAAAGCTGTAGGCACCAACGAAGGGGCCCTTGCTCAGAAGAAACTTTGCAATCATCGCCGAGTCTGGCTCAGAAGACTGCTCCTCGATTGGAGCCACGGTCGTAAACTCGCTCTCAGAAATTGTGTGGAAAATCGTCTTTCCATGCTTCGCCAAAACAGCGTCTACGATATGCAGCTCGGCTGGCGAGCTGCGGATTCTGCTGCTTCCTGTCTCCGTGCCTCCCAGGGAAACACTGCCAGGCTGCTCTCCACAAGCTTAAAGTGGCTGCCCTCCACGAAGAAAAGGTATGGAGGAGAAGACATCTCGCGACACTTCACCATGACGTCATGCATGACAGAATCACTGTCATCAAAGAAGTGGGTGGCTCGCATGACTCTCAGAAATTCGGCTTTGTCCGTGAGGCTGGAAAACATGTTCTGGAAGGCCTTTTTGAGCTGGGGAGCGTGGTGGCGAATAAACAACTGCGCAATCCGGTAATCATTCGCCGTCAGCATGTAGCATGCAACTCCATGATTCAAACTCAGATCTTTGATGAAGTCGATCATCCGATGGTTAGGTTCCAGCTTCCAATACTCAGCATAGTGCACTGCTTGGTTTTGAATGAAACCGTCTTCTCTTCGCACAGCCTGCGTTGAAGTATGCAAAACACCGTCAAAGTCAAAGAACACCCGGTCCTGCGAGGGATTGAACTCAACCCCCCGAACGATGACAACCTTTGAAGGTTCCTGCATGTTGAAAATCGAAAATCCGGGGCCAGAATGGCACCGAAGCAGCACCAGCAGACCTACTACTGCAGCTCTTCGCCGGCATACATAACAACTGCCATGTAGGCCATGCTGAAAGAGGGATGTACTCAAGCTTTGTGCTATACGATACATTGATCCTGCAGCGAAGCAAATGCATCCAAGCAAGCGGCACTTCATGCGGTCCTAGCTTTACGCAAAAAACCCTGAAGACTACGTAGCAGCTCAGCATGCTGAAGCACATTCTCAGCTGCATTTTCCCTGGTCTCATCGCAGCACTCATTGCGCGGTATGGAGCCCTTCCAGGCGCAATTGAATTCATGGCTGCTGCTCTCCCAAAGCAGCACTCAGAAGCTGCTGTGCACGACTACACTACACAACAGCTGACCCCTACTTTAGAGAATGAAGGAGCTGACACAGGCCTCAAAACCAAAAAACTTCGAGTGCATGCGCGCAGCGGCTTCGGGCTTCTTTGCCCTCAAGTGAGACCACTCACCTTGTATATCCATGCTAACATCACCACTTATGGTGCCAGCAACGTGTTGCAGCAGTTTGAACTCAAAGTCCTGTGAGATCGAGGGTACCTTGAGCAGATCGCCGCTGAGACATTGCATAACCGATTGCATCATGGACACCGTTTCACGCGCCTGTCTGGTCTTGCAGCCAAACAACCGTATGCGAGATGCCACGAACAGGTTGTTCATGCTTATTTCCGGTAGGCCAGCTTTCATGTGCAGCTGCCCCGCTGCCACCATGAGTTGCCATGCATCGTTCAATGTACTGCACGCGTGCACAGCATTCGGCTCGTAGAGAATGCAACAGTACAGCTGCAAACCAACTGCTGCAAGTGCGCCTGCGGCCACGTAGTCATCCAAGTCATTGCATTGCAAGGTTTGGAGGAGCATCTGGACATACTGTGAGGCTTCCATGCGAGCTCTGTGTCTGTCCAGCAAGTCTGGATACTTTCCTGCATAGACATGCCCGAAAGCAGGAATGATAAAGGTGCATGCGAGGACGAGCAGAACTGGATCCACCAAACGTGACTCCGTTGCAACCTCTTTCAACCATGTCATCTGGGCATCCCAGTCATTCCTCTCCTTCAACTCGTAAGCTTTCCGCAAGAAGTCCCGGACTTGCGGCTTGATGTCCAAATTTCCACACTGGTTCTGCCAAAAATCGGGCACTGGTCCTTTGATAGATGAAATCAATTTGTTTGGAAGGACATCACGACAAACTGCCTTAGGAATGGGCAAGGCCATGGCCGCTCCATGAAAGCCGGGGATTAGCATTGGGGTGTGCAAGAAACAATCGATGCTTGAGACTTTCATCCTGGAATCGCGGCACCAATTCTGGGAGTGCGTCCCACCTTTGAAATTCCATCTCGCAGCCATACTGCACTAATTCCAGAATTCTGTAAACGGGTAGGGACTCGAAGTGTGCTCGCCACATGGCAGTGGTCAAGCGGATTGACAGCTTGCTGTGGCACATCCTCGGCATGTCGTGACGTCGAGCAAATGCGGTGGTCTCAAGAGTTGAGCCGCATGGCCCACAGCCATACAGGATGACGTCGCATATTGACTTAGGAGCCCCTCGAGCTGAGGGAATCTTGATCAGCGGACTCTCCTCCAAAGAATCGTCTGCATGCCGGCAACACGCAAGCACAAGAACCAAGATACCGTTCGAGATCTTGTTGCGGAAGGACTGACGTATCCATTCCACAGGGATCAACTTCTTTGCTGATTGCTTTTCCGCATCACATGGAACCAATAGGCCGCCTCTGCTAGTTTGAATGCCATGTCCATCGAAAAACACAAAAAGACATCTGTTCGTGTCGGGCGCTTGTAGAACCTTTTCAAACACGTCCTTCATCTGGAAATACGGAACATCGGAGAGCTTGGCTGGCGGGCCAGCTAGCGAGCAACAACGATGGAGAGCTTCTTCCACCGCATCAACATCATTGCAACTACCGTTCCTCACGGGCTTGAATGGTTCAGAACAACCATGCCATCTCCCTGCTCCTATGCAATGTAACCAGGGCAAAATCAAAGCATGACCCAAACAAGCACAAGTGGCAGCGAAGGATAATGTGCATAGTTGTTGTTGCCGATTAGGATACACCGCCAAGGTCCTGCAATAATGTCCGGACAGCTGAAACCGCCACCAGTGTCACCATCAACTGCAGGCACACGTGCGACTCTGCTTCTCGTGATGACGCAACCACACCCCATGCTGGGCACAGCGCAATGGGTGCAATTTAGCTCAAGTTCAAGGCGTGTTTTACCGTCGGCTCTTTGACATGGTTCATCTTTCTTCTAGACTATCATGGGCAGGCAGATCCTTAGCTGGTCAGATTCCACATAAGCTTGCACAGCCCAAAACCTTGAGCCATTGGAACCTTCGACACGCATCAAGTTGAATGCAGAAAGCTTTGAATCTTTGATTCCGCTATTTCTTCACTGCATGCTTCGCCCACTCTGCTGCCACAAAAGACGGCATTCCGTTCCCGAGCCTCCACAAAGGCTTGGCCGAGCTTGAAAGCAGCCAGCTCACCATCAATGTCTATGTCAAGGAAAACCTCTGCATCATTTTTCCATGGGTTTCGGAAGGCATGCACGTCTACACTTCAGTCAACCAGGCGAAAATAATGTTTGTCGCGCGTTCATCGTCATCCTTCTTTGGATTGCAGATTTACGGATTCCATGCTGCACGTGGAAGTTTGATCTATGACAATGTGATGCTGCGCCTAACTTTGAACAGTGTGCGTGGAACTGCGCTCCTTTCAGCAATCTCGGTTCCCGAACTGTGGAGTTTGGGCATAATCTCGAAAAGTCGTATCACAGAGACCTTTGTCTGTCCTGACTTGAGTGACTTGAAGAATGTTGCTTGGAAGAGCAAGTGCCCCCAGGACCTCAACAGTCTTGAAACTATTTCAACTTGATTTACGACTAACATAACAATTGTGTCACAACCCTTGGCTTCTGGCATGAGAAACGTGCGTCGCAAAATGCACGAGAAATCCCCCGGGTCAATTGCTCTAATGTGGTTCCAGTCCTAAGTCCCCACACAACACGTTGTACTTCAAAGCCTTGATCTTAAAAACAGGTGTTGCAGTGCCAGTACATATTCGAATGGCAAGCCTTTTCCTGCGCCTCCTTGCACACTAGAAAACATTCTCTGGTGCTTAGCCCAGGTGGGACGCCGGCCTTGCTCATGGCCGGAGAAAGCCCACTTGCACGGCACTCTTGCAGAGGGTGGATTTCAGATTAACTGCTTTGAGAACTGACTAGTGATTTCAGGCTCGAACAACACATGGCCAGGTGTGATGGTTTTTTTCTCTGCGAGCTTGAGGTTAAAATCTGCGTGGACTCAATAAGGTCTGCGCTGCATGAAGCAGAAGATTTTATGGTGCAAAGAACCTGAGGGCGCATGTATGCTTTCCAGCTCCGGCCTTATCAAACTTCTGGGGTCGCAAGTCGCAACCATCTTGCAGTCCCTTTCGTTTACTTAGCGGATGTATGTAGGGATTGCACCTGTCCACCAGCTCGCATGTCTCTGCTGGTTCCGTGGAGCACTGAGACAGCTGCAGCAAGGTATGAGTAGCAGACCTACTTTTTCCTGACCTCTATTGACCTGTCACTACCCTCAAACTTGAGCTTCCTCCTGCGACTTCAGTCTTCTTTGGGTCAACCATTCAGTAGTCTCATTCGGGGCAACTTTTGGAGAATTGGAGGGTTTGGCCAGCAAAGCCCTGATGTCTTGCAGCTCTTGGGTTGGCGGATTGGCTGTGGCAAGCGGAATGGGATTGCTCAGAACATTCCCTTCCTGAAGCTCCCACATTTCCCAAGCCTTCACTGATCACTGGTCAACTTCCTTCATGATGACAACCACACAAACAGATACTCTGGTACAAATCCCATATCGTTGGGAGGTAACGCCCCAAGTCTAACAAACAGCCGATCTCCATCCGAAACAAGCCCGAGCCAAACCTTAAATACAGGCAAAAACTAACGCCGAGCCAAAATGAAGCCGAAATAACGCCGGCGTATGCATACAGACTCCAAACAGTGTAAGACTTTTCGAATGCCGCCTTGGAGCACTCCAAGAGCACCCCAAAAGCACTGAAGCCACGACAGTTCTGAGGGCAAGTGGTTCCGGGCTCGTTTGTTACGTTTTGGCTCGTTCCCCAGAAGCTCACCTAATCTTAATTTGCTGCGTTCGCCTACCTACATACAGTGAAAGGGCGGACACGAGCTGAAGCAATGCGGACATGCTATGTGGCTATCTGTGACGTGGATGACTGGACAAGGCAAA